TCCGCTAAAGCTGTTTTGTAATCTGTGAGCTAGTGCATTGATGTGTCTTTTCCCCAAAGACAAAGCCAGAAAATTCCAAATCCCATCTATCTTTAATGCCCATAAGATATATCTATTAAAGAAAAAAGAAAGAAAATGGTGATAAGAAGAAAAAAATACATCAAATTAGATGCCCAGAGATAAATTGTTAATATTTTCATGATTCCTTTTTATATCATATTTCCTCATTTATTCTTGCAACTGAAATAGCCAATGTATAATTTGTTGAGATCAACTTATAACTTAAAGCATTTTGAAATAAACTGTGAAAAACACTTTTATTTTTAAAGGCACAATGTATTTTTCTTTTTTCTTCAAGAAAAGTACAACAGAGTTTACTGCTATATTTAAATGTATTGGGTTTTTTAGTTTTATATAATGTCAGGATTCATTTTGACATAACTGTAAAAGCATGGAATATCATTTTCTCTAATTTTTCCTCCTGTTCTCCCTCCTGTTACCTACCCTATACGCTACTAATTGTTCTGCTGTTTACTTATAGTGTTATTTCAATTCCTGAATTCCTTTCAAGTCTCTGAGAAAAATTATCACTATAAGCATTAGAAATGAGTTATAAAAGAGAAAAAATATAAGGACTTCTCTATAATTTGTGTTTACTATTTATATAGTTGTTTTAGTTCTTGTAGGGAAAATGGTGTCATGAAATATCACAGAAAAAGTAATTTGAGGATAAAATATTCACATTCAAAAGGACTGCCCTCCTTTATTTCCTCCCTCCCTCCCTCCTCCTTCTTCCTTCCTTCCTTCCTTCCTCTCTCTCTCTACTTTTTTTTCTTGATTGTCTATAATTTTTCTATTCTTATTTGTCATTCATTCTATACCTATATGAATATTGAGGATTCAAATGAACAGTTTATTAGCAGATTTAAAGAAGTGTTAATTTTTCTGTAATTTTAATGTCTTTAAATGTTTCCTAATAGACTTCATGAAACAAAGTTGAGTTTATTTTAAATTAATTTTCAACTTGAATAAAATCCTCAGGCAATAAATCTCTGTACTTGACTTCAATGTACCACCAGGCCAATAAGGAATTCATAGTTTAATTATTGTTTGCTTCCCTCAACAAATTCGAATTGAATTTCAAATGTAGTTTTGGATCTTTAGTACAAGGTAAATTATTTCTCCATAGCCTTGCAATGCTCAATAGCAAGCTAATTTACTTTCATCTAATTTCTACCGTGATCTCTTGTTAAAATTCGTGAGTACACAGGATATAAAGAGCAATACAAAACTGGTTAATTTTTGTGAGTTATTTCTCATTTATTAACATAATATTTGCTATTATTTATTGATGCTCTATTACATTTAGCCTCAGTAGAGTGATCTGCCTTTCACTGATTATTTTTTCATATAAGCAAATTGGTTCCCAAAAGATCAACCATAACATAATTACTTATGTTTGTGAAACATCATTATATTTTTGGTTCAGCAATTGATTACAATGATGTAATTCAAGGAAAATATTCTAGAGGGACCAACAGATCATACCAGATATACTCACAATGCTTAAGTAATGTTAAGTTCTATTAGCATCTACCGAATTTTCCTCGGGGTGTGTGGAACTCCTTTAGGTTCTGTTGTGGATTACTCAAAAGCAAAATGTAGTGGGGATAAAAAGCAAGGTAATTGAAGGAGTAAAAATGGATTTGGAGGAATATAATCTTTGTATCATTTGTTTAATTATTTAAATAATATATTTGACTTATTTACTAATTGTTGAAACCTGCAAGATATAGGTATTTGGTATATGAGAGACATTGCAAGTAATGAGAAAAGTTGACAAAAGAAAGGTTTATTTGTCAAGAATTTAATTAACCATATTAAGAAGTTAAGTCTGTATCCAAATTTAAAGGTAAACAAGCGAAGATTTACAGGTTAAGAGAGATGCCATATATTTCTAACCATTTCTCTGTGCTTTATGCACAGAGAAGGTGGTAAAACTTGTTGCTATAACAATTAGAAATGTTAATATTGCTAATATTCCAGAGTTCTGATTTGAAGCCCATATAAGTAAAATAGAGGAGTTGTTATAAGTAGACATATATGACAAAAAAGGTGTTAGATACTCAATAGTTTTCAATAATTGATTTTTTATTATTGAAAGTTAAGATATACAAAATGTATCTTTAAAAGACTGCCTCATGTGGACAACTGAATGGAATATCATACCAATACTGATTAGAATATTTGTACTCCAAAGAATATGGGTAGGGTTGGGTGGTTTTTAAATTGATAAATTTTCTTTGAATATGTTAAATTTAGGAACCTCTGGAATATCTCATTTAAATTGCCTGGGAAGCAATTAGATATGTGTGCCTGAAGTTTAAAGGAGAAATTTGGCATAGAGAGCTCGACTTTTGCATCAGGAGCATATAAATGACACTAGTTCCCATAGCATCAGATGACAACTCTCAACAAGGATGTGCAAACATAACATAAATTGGTCTAAGAAGAACACTAAAGAAAGAGTATTGCTTCAAGCATAAACAATGGAAACAGTCATTTAGGAAAGTAAAAGTGAACAGAAAAGATGACAACTTAGACACCCCCCTTCCAAAAATGTGGGGGCTAATGTAGAAGCAGGTAGTTTCATGGGACTGGCCCCTAGAACTTTAGAAAATTTGAGGCTCTTTTAATGTCAGAAATGTTGGCATCTACTGAGAGTAAATGGTGAGGTAGCTGTGTAGGAACGTGAAATAATTCAAAGGGTTTGAAATTGCTACCTACAAAATGTGAGACAGAATATTGCTTCAAGGAAAAGCAGATCAAGCCAATGTAGTTGATTTTTATTTTCATTTATTTAACATTTATTGATTGATTGATTGATTTTTAATATAAGCTTATTATAATTTAATTTTGTCCAGATGTTATTCTTGATAGTTTAGAAAAAAATTTTAAAGAGAAAAGCATGTAAAATCCCCCTTAGTTCGATAAATCTGTGTATGAGAAAGTATTGAAAAAAGAAGGTGACATGTAAATAGGCAAGAAGTAATTTGTGGCATTTAAGGAATGAATATAAGTAAATAAATGAAAAGTCATAGTCACATAATGGAGATAAAAATAAAACAGGAAAGTCTGTGATCATAAGGTAATATTTTAATTTGGGATATTTAGCACTTGATCAATTTCCAGATACAACACTTTTCAACAAGTAGCCCTGGGAGTGGGAAACTGAGGTAGAATTCTAAGATTGGTGATATCAAAATGTCCAGAGCTTGAGAACCCATTTTTTTTAGTGCTTAATTAAAAAAAAAACTTGTTTTAAATAGTTATACATGACAGTAGAATGCATTTATACACTTTGATATGTCATACATAAATAGGGTATGATTTCTCTTTTTTTTCTGATTGTGCATGTCGTAGAACTACATTGGTCATGCAGTCATGTATATACATAAGGTAATAATGTCTGTTTCATTCTACTATCCTTTCTATCCCTATTCCCCTCCCCTCCCTTCACTTCCCTCTCTCTAATCTAAAGTAACTCTGTTCTTCCCCCTTACTGTGAATGAGCATCCCCATATCAGAGAAAACATTCGGCCTTTGGTTTTGGGGGATTGGCTTTTTTTGCTTACCATGATATTATCAAGAACACATCTGTTAATTGTGTGGGAACAGATGACAGTTTGGTGAGTGAATGATTGACTAGGAAATATGTAAGGGACAAAGTATGCCAGTGTGTAAGGCTCAAAGCATCAGAGGAGTTCACAGAAATTCAAAATGTAAGAATAGATATGAAATAATAGCAGAAGCATAAACATTCCTTATCTCCCTTGCCAAATATGAAATATAGAGAGAGTTCTAAAGAGAAAAGGTCTGAAGAGAAAAGTTCTCATGAAGCTACCTAGTTTCATTATAAGGAAAGAAGAATCAAAAGATTGGCAATGTTGGAGATTTGAGAACTATTCAGAGAGAAAGTTACCTGTAGCTTTCGCAGCGCATAAATCTAAGTATTAAAGGAATAAGAGTGAAGAGAAATAAAGATTAGAGATGACAAATTAGTGAATCAATGGAATAATATTTAAAATATTGCAAAATGATTAAGCCCCTATACTTATCATTATGTGAGACTGCACACAGACTTCTAAGTAAGGAAGCATCAATCTAAAGAATATCAATACCATTAACAGCTGAAATTGTTGGCACATAATATGAGATAATCACTGTTCTGACTTGACATAAATGAATTCATAGATCCCCTACCCAAAGTTTTCTTGATCTCTGGTTGATAGGGAAATTGTTGCCTATGTGAAAGTTTGTTTTCATAAACTAGGAATTGATGTTAGAGAATCAAGTTATGTGTTATTCTGTTACACTATATTCCAGTCATGCAGGATGCTCAACCTCAGTTCCCATAATTGAAAACTAATATGCTATATAACAATTAAATAAAAACTAGGAATCAAATATATGAAAGTACAACATAAAAATTTAAACTCACTGTAAAAATATAAGATATAGAAATAACCAGTTCCCAAAAGATTTACTACAATCTTTCCTAGGAGACCCATGGAGTCAATATTTTTGAATTTATTATTCCCACTCACTAAAATTTTCCAAAAGAATCAGTGTGATTTTGTTTAAAGTATTTTGATAATTGTAAAAGAAATATTTTTTCTGCATTCAAACAATTCTCTTTTTTCTCTTATCATAATAGATATGACATAAGTAATACAATTACGTGAAACTTAAAAATACCGTCTTTCAACATTTACAAACCCTCACAGAGTTGCATGCTTTGCAATTTCTACCTAGGAAATATCAGTTTTTTTTCTTCTAGCAGACACAAAATGAAGAGGTTCCTCTAAATGTTCTCAACAGAAGATCAGAGCATAAGAATCATCTCCGGACCTCAACTTAGTTATTGTTAACAGGAATGCTGTTCCTCAGAAGGTGTGCTCTGAAGCACTTTGTTGGAGACAACCTCTTACACCTCTTCTATGGCTAATGGTAATCACTCATCAGTGTCTGAATTTATCCTCTCAGGGCTCACAGATAATCCAGAACTTCAAATCATCCTCTTTGGTGTATTCCTAGTCATTTACTTAGGTAGTGTCATGGGTAATCTTGGACTGATTGTGCTAATCCAAATCAGTCCTCAGCTTCACACACCCATGTATTTTTTCCTCAGCCATCTGGCTTTTGTTGACTTTTGCTTCACCTCCTCTGCCACCCCCAACATGCTGGTGAATCTCCTGCGTCAAGTTAAAAGTATAGCATTTTTTGCATGTGCCATTCAGGTCTGCTGCTTCATCACATTTGTAGTCTGTGAAGTATACTTGCTGTCAATCATGGCATATGATCGGTATGTGGCTATCTATAACCCTTTACTTTATGTCATTCTCATGCCTAGGAAACTCTGTATGCAAATGGTTGCTAGCACATACATCTATGGATTCGCGGTGGGTCTTGCACAGACAGTAGCAACATTCCACTTGTCTTTCTGTGACACCAATGTGCTCAATCACTTCTACTGTGATGATGTCCCCTTAATGGCTCTGGCTTGTTCTGACACTCACATCAAAGAGATGATGCTCTTAATCATCGCTGGTTTCAATACCTTATGCTCTCTAACGGTTGTGATCATTTCTTATGTCTTCATCCTCTTTGCCATTCTGAGGATTCGTTCAGCTGAAGGAAGACAGAAGGCATTCTCTACCTGTGCATCCCACCTGACCTCCATCACAATATTTTATGGGACAATTATTTTTATGTACCTGCAGCCAAAGTCAAGCCATTCTCTGAACACAGATAAATTTGCTTCGGTGTTTTACGTAGTAATAATTCCCATGTTAAACCCATTGGTCTATAGCTTGAGAAATAAGGAGGTAAAGAGTGCTCTGAAAAGAACGATATAAAAGTTGTGTTTGGTTATCAAATAATCTAGGAGTCACTAGGCCAAGATCCAAGGACTTTGAGTTGGGCATTAGCTACAGTAATAGTGCTGGTATTGGTAGAGACACATTCTTCACTTTGAGTGCTCAGAGTCTCTCAGTGTAGGTCTCATCCTCACTTTCAGTCTCAATAATTTCCACATGAAAGGCTTTTTGTACATTTTGAGTTGTTGGATTTTAAAGAAGGGGAGGACAACAGAGAAAGAGAGTGAGATCTTAATCCTCTTTAACCACACATCTTTACCAATGACTGAAGAAACAGCATCTTAGGATAGAGGTTTTATCTGAGCTCTGTGAGATACTGACACACATGGTTTATACTGAAGTAGATAAAAATTTGTGTGTTATATTTCAAATTTGGTGCATAGATAATCTGGAAAAAATAAAGTTTAATAGCAAAGAATTTTTGGTTTTAAGATGTTGGGTATTTTCTACATTTTTCTGGGAAAGATAGTGCTAGCAGATTTATATTTGCCGCAGTCTGGCTGGGCACAATCAGGAGCCACTTGTCAAAAGAAACTAACTTTATTTTTAGAACCACACACACCAAACAAAACAGCCTCTCAGGAAAAACCCTCAGAGCCCCAACTGCCACCACCGGCTTCCCACAAGCCTCTCTCTCCCACCAAGCCTCTCTCCACCTCCCACAATCCTCCTGCTCTTGAGGCCGATTGGCTGGGTCACGTGGGCAGAGGCAAAAAAGTCCCCCAATGAGCAGCTCCGTGGTCTGAAAGGGCAGGGAAACAGCCCAATGAGCATCACCGCAGAGGAGCCAATCAGCTAGATGTTGCTGGGGCCGCTGTAAGCCAATCATTAGCCGGCAGCTGGAAGTTTGCTGGGGCCCCTTTGGCTGTGGCTCTCAACATCTCCCCCTCTCTGTTTAAACAACAAGCATGTGGCTTAGGGACCGTGCCTGCCTTAGGTTGTCCAACAGTACATATGGTCCTTACTCATTAGGTTGGTACCATTGCAATTGGATCTTACCCGACACTGACTACCAGTCCAGTATACAGCCACACCTGTGGAGAGGTCTTTGTACCAGCAGGGAGGTGAGGTTCTTTGCCTCACCTCTGTTGGCCCCCAAATTTTAGCTGGACGATCATGACAAGCAGAAGGGAGGAAGATACACCAAGCCAATTGACAGCTCCTTTTGGAAAAATTGTACCACCGATGACATCATCAGCAAAAATAGCCCAACACTACCACAAGTCGCTGCACCAACAGATAGTTCACAATGCATACAGGTGAGTTCACAATGTGTCCAGGCAAGTTCTGCAAGCAGTTCAGTGATGGCTATTGTAGAAGCTGTAGATTGGTTTTATCTTTGACTTCACCAGCACTGGGATGAAGATAGGAATTCTGGCAATAATGGCTAAAGAAAAAATTATGTAACATTCCAGAAGGCACTAAAAGAAAACAATTTTCTTAACAACTTACGTTATCTTTAAGAGAATTATTAAATATAATGAAAAGGAAAGGTGAAAGTAAACAAACAGATCTGTTAACCTCCTTTTTTGTTCACATATTAAAACAATCCTCAACAGTTGTTTACCCAATTTAAATTAAACCATTTAAATCACGTGAATATAAAAAAAATTTGGATCCATTTTTTCATGAGTGCTCATCATATATGATATATGGACATACGTACATTCAAACATATAACACAAAACACAAGTGTGCACACATAATATATATATACAACACATAACCTAATAGTAAAGGCCTTATAACTTTTTACAGGTGAAATCTCCATTGCAATGTTTAAAAACTCTATAGTCAAAAAATAGAACTGATCAGCAAAACATTAACCTAGGTCTGTATGAGCTCAAAAAACAAAATAGAATGTGGGAAAGGGCAATAATAAAATTGATATTGAAAAAAGCATCCTGGTTCTATCGCAGATGTAAGGATAGCCAAACTGGAGTTTAGGATATCAGCTGTTATGGACTTGAGTCAAATCATCTTCTTTTTGGTCTGTAGAAATCGCTTTAGTTAATCTCTCTGGAATCCAAATTGGCTCCTGTTCTCCCTGTGGAAACACACAAACAGACCCGCAACTCCAGACAATTACTGGGTCAGGACCTTTCCATTGTCCTCTTAGAATATCCTTCCAAAGTACCTTGGGCTTATGCACATTTTTTGGACACATTAGCCTTTCCGCAGCACTAAGTCATGATGAATCCAAATTTAAAAAGTTTAGAGTAAAAAGGGTTATTTTAAGTTTATCTTTGGGGAATATATACCCCTTCCCAATTCCGTCTTTTTGCTTTAATAAGTACATTTTAATAGTTTGATGAGCTCTTTCAACTATGCCTTGTCCCTGTGGATTGTATGGGATTCCTATTATATGAGTAATGCCAAATGATGAGCAAAATTGTTTAAAAGAGGTAGAAGTATAACCAGGGGCATTATCTGTTTTTAACTGTTTTGGAATGCCCACAGTGGCAAAATTTTGTAAGCAATGAGCTATAACATCTTTAGTTTTTTCTCCGGCATGAAGGGAGCCCATCAAAAATCCAGAAGAAGTAACAACTGTAACATGCAAATAATTTAATTTTCCAAATTCTGGCAAGTGTGTGACGCCCATCTGCCAAATATGGTTAGGTATCAATCCTCTAGGATTGATTCCAAGATTAACTTGTGGTAAAAAGGTCACACAATTTTGACATTGTTTTATTATTTGTCTAGCTTGTTCCTTAGTTATTTTAAAATGCTTTTGTAAAGTATTAGCATTGACATGGAACCTTTTATGAAAATTTATAGCTTCTTCTAGTGTAGAGAAAATATGTATGTCATGTGTAGTTTTATCTGCTAAATCATTGCCCAAACTAAGGGCTCCAGGCAATCCTGTATGTGCCCTCATATGTCCTATAAAGAATGGATCTTTTCTGTCCCAGATTAGACTTTGTATAGTTGAAAGCAAAGAGAAAACAGTAGAGGAAGGTGAAATCCTACCAGCATCTTCAAGGGATACTATAGCATTTACTATATACTGACTATTGGAAAATAAATTAAATACAGAATCTTTAAACATCACAAAAGCTTGTAATACTGCATTAAGCTCTACCTTTTGAGCTGATTTTTTGGGTACTAAAAATGTAAAAGTTTGATCAGGTGTAACTATTGCTGCTGTACCATTATTTGATCCATCAGTGAATATATTTGGAGCATTCATGGTAGGTGTTTTTCTTGTCATTTTTGGAAAAATTACAGGATGCGATGAACAAAAAGACAATAAAGGATTAGATGGTAAGTGGTTATCAAATGAAACATTATATTTACACATGATTATTGCCCAAGTATTTAACTCATTAGCTAACTCATCAATTTGATTCATAGTATATGGAGTAATAATTTTATTGGGAGAAATTCCAAACACTCCCTTCGCTGCTTTTATTCCTTTGAGTATTAATTGTCCTACAGCCTCAGGATACCTAGTAAGAATAGTGTTAGGAGAATAAGATAAATGTATCCATAATAATGGACCTTCTTGCCAAAATACTCCTGTAGGAATATTTTTTGTTGGTAGTACAATAAATAATAATGGCAAACTTATATCAATTCTATCCAAATGCATATTTTCCATATATGTTTCAATGATTTTAATGCCTTTCTTGCTTCAGGCGTTAACATTTGGGGTGAATTTGGATCTGATGGACCTTTTAGGATATCAAATAAAGGTCCCAACTCTCCTGTTGGTATACCTAAATAAGGCCTTATCCAATTTATGTCTCCTAATAACTTTTGAAAGTCGTTAAGTGATTTGAGTTGGTCTACTCGTATTTGAATTTTTGATGGACGGACCATGGTTGAGGATAATAGAACTCCTAAATAATTAATTGGAAATTTTAATTGTACTTTATCTATTGCTGTCTCTAGATTATAATTTTTTAATAAATTTGTAAGTGTGGCATAACATTCTAGCAATGTGTTTTTAGCTTTGTGTGTTAATAATACATCATCCATATAGTGAAATATTTGTAGTTCAGGATTTTTATTTCTAAGTGGCTGGATTACTTTGTTAACATAAATTTGACACATAGTTGGGCTGTTAGCCATCCCTTGAGGGAGTACTTTCCATTCATATCTCTGATCAGGACCTTCATGATTCAGTTTTGGGATAGTAAATGCAAAACATGGACTATCCTCGGGATGAATTGGAACTGAAAAAAAAAAACAATCTTTAATATCTATAACTAAAACATACCAGGTTTTTGGCAAAGCAGACAACTGAGGAATCCCTGATTGAGCAGGTCCCATAATAACCATCTCATTATTAATGGCTCTTAAATCTTGCAATAATCTCCATTTACCAGATTTCTTTTTGATGACAAAAATGGGAGTATTATGGGGAGATACAGAAGGTTGTATATGTCCTTCCGCTAATTGTTGTTTGACCAGGTCATGGGCTGCTTGTATCTTTTCTTTAGTCAGGGGCCACTGAGGAACCCATACTGGTCTTTCTGATTTCCAAGTAATTTTTATTGTCTCAGTGGCCCCTTCTGAAAATCCAACCCATATCTGTCTTTTCCTTGATCTATTTGTATTGGTGCTGCTATACCTTGTTCTTGTTTTTCTAATCTTTTTCCTTTCCTAAAACCTTGTATAGTCATAATAGTGGGTGCATTTTGGTTGATGTTATTTGTTAATGTCAAACCTAATTGATCTAGGACATCTCGTCCCCATAAATTTAAGGGAAGATGATCCAGTACATATGGCTGTATAGTTCCTTCATGTCCTTCAGGATCCTTCCAGTCTAATACCATTGCACTTCTATGGGGATTAGTCGCCACTCCTAGGCCTCGAAGCGTTTGAGTGGCTTGTTGTAATGGCCAATGATGCTAAGGTCTGCACCTGTATCCAGTAGTCCATTAAATTCATGTCCTTGAATATTTAGTTTTAGCATGGGGCAAGAATCTAAATTTAAAGAAAGCATAGCCCAATCTACACCTGTGGAGCCT